TTTTTTTTTTTTTTATTTTGAACCCAAATTTAGATTTGATAATTTTGTTTCAGGATTAGGATTATAGAGTTAGTCATCATTATTGAGGTAATTCACCTTATCCTAAGATATTGAGAGTCTGACACGTGTTCAGTTTGTTCAAGCATAATTGTCCTACATTTTCAGCTACTTATACGAAAATGAGGACAAAAGAACCATGTTGTGGGTGCTACGGCTTTGAAAGTTCGGAGCAGCAAATCTCATAGGTTATTATTATATTGGCCTATTTAACTGTACTGTTATTTGGTATAAAATATAATGTTTTTTAGTAAAACTGAAGGCCTTTGTTACAGTATTTTGACAGTTCATGTTTGGGAAAAAGATTTGGTGTCAGGTTCAATATTAAATGGTTGCCTTCATTTAGTTGGTCTAGCTGGGAGTGAAAGAGTGGATAAATCTGAAGCCGTTGGTGAGAGACTAAAGGAAGCCCAACATATTAGTAAGTCGCTCTCTACACTTGGTGTTGTTATTGCTGCACTTGCACAAAAGAGTTCTCATATACCTTACAGAAATAGCAAGCTCACTCAAGTGTTGCAAGATTCTTTAGGTAGTATATACAAACCACATTTATTTTGTGAGCAATCTTACATTTTGGTACATGTAATGGAAAAATTACATGAAATCTAACTTTCGCTATCGTACTTGTCTTTTCTTAAGTCTGTTATAAGTTTCAATTATTGATTTCTCTTACATGAGTTCACTATGGAACGGAAAAGAACAAAACTCAAAACATCAAGTTTTTCGAAAGCTTGTTTTACGATTATATTATTGAAGGTTACCAAAACAATGTGATTAACATATTACCTTATCTTGTTATATTTTGAGCAGAAGGGTATGCTACGATGTTGATGTTTGTTCATATAAACCCAGATGTTAATACCCTAAGGGAGACAATCAGTACCCTGAAATTTGCCGAAAGAATTGCCATGATAGATATTGGGGCCGTCCAATATAATAAGGAGACTAATGAGATAAAGACTTTAAATAAGAGGTTTGTTCTTTTACAATTACTTATCTGCTTTGGCTTGGATCACGTTCAGCTCACGCTCTTACTATTTCATGGTTTATTAAGATCTCAAACTTGAAGCTATTACTAGAAAAGAAGGAAGTTGAATTGAAACAGCTAAAAAGTCTCACAGATAATCGAGGAGTAGTATCTCCACTACTGCTATCTAAATTAAACAGCAATGCCAATTTGAAGCCTGAGTTCAATCAACAACATGTTGGTACTCAAGTTGTGGAGGTAACATCCATAGCTACAGTGTATGATAGATAAAAGTTCAAGTATTCGTGAACAATCCAAAATAAGATCCTCACATTTTTAGCTTGAATCATGGTTTTTTAATTCTTGGCAACGTAAAAAAAATAACACAATTGAAGTTAAAAGACATTTTTAAATTTTTAGTCCTTGTCTTTATTATTATTAATAAATCAAAGTCTGAACTAAACATGGTTGTGGGTTTACTTACACTAATTTTCTCCTTATTATGATGCAAGGCTAAGAATGTATCATAATACAAGTAGCGTCACAAGTAGCATCTGATCATCTTAAGCAGGTATGATAACTTAAATTATTTAACTTTTAAAACAAATTAGAGACTGAACTGGGCCCCACAGTTTGACTAACTGATGCCTATTTTTCACTTGATTATCGACTAATGAATTCAATTCAATTCATAAGCTCTTAGATTTTACTTAAGCACTACATACTCTAGTTACTTTTTAGTTTTTACAAAAGAAAGTTCCTAGGGAGGAACTTACAGATGCTAAATAACGTGTTCGAGACGACCCAAAAGGTTACTTTATAATTTTTTTCGGTTGTATTTTATTATCTAGAGCAAGATAATAAAGTCAATGATGTGAACTTGAGCGATTATAAAGGCAAGGTCTTCCTCGTTGTTAGTGTCGCGGCCAAATGGCGAGGGCCCCTTTTTTTTCTTGAAAACCTTTTTTTGTTTCCCTTTGTTTTCTATTTGTGTTATTTACTGCTTCATAGTGATGATTGTTTTTTGGAACAATGTGTTTCAGTGTTTAGTTTTTTTGGTTAGCACTTTATTTTCTTATTTCTGATTTATCAATGTGCAGCTAAGCTTATTTACCTTAATCTGTGGTGGTGCCTGTTCAGATCCTCACATTTTTTGATATGTTCTCATGGCTAACTCTATGTGCAGAGAGGGAATAAAATCATGGAACTCGATGAAAGAAACCAACAGATGAATTATAACTCGGACCCTTGAAAGCCCTAAACCTCAATGGTCGTCTCGAGAGAAAATCCCTCGGCCAGCTAATCTTTTAGTGCCATAACATCAATAAAGATGGACTCTTGTCACTGCAACTAATTCAGGCTTCTCTGTTATATTTTCCTTTTCCTTTATTTTTTTTTTAAATTTAGGTTTCCATTAAGCACTATATGGTCTCATCAACTTGAGAGAAATCCTTGATCGGCTAAACTTCGTCTGAGGTGAAATTCTTATATATATATTTTTTGGCGCAATCGTATCTGCAAACCAAAAATTTTGTTTGCAATGAAAATCTTGATCTCCTCATCTTTGAAAATTCCACAGCCTAGAAAAGAATCATGTTCGATTTTACGGTCATCTAAAAGAGGCTAACATTGCAGGTGTTCCAAGAAACTGGATTTCCCTGGCCTGAGGGGCTGTAAAGGAGGTGGCTCCACTGCCAAACTCGCCTAAATTATGTTGCTATGTTAGGTAGATTGTTAGGTCAATGATAATCTCTTACTTTTGATCGCAACTTTAGGATTGTATGATGAACAAAAAATGTTCTTTTTACGTTTTTGTGATTGATGAATATTTTATCATGTTGTGGGGCTACTACCCTTGTGATGCATTCATATGAATTAATCTCAAGCTACTTTTAGAAATACCAACAAATGTATGTATATGTATTTATCAAGTTTGACAAATATATGTATAAAGTTGGACACATATTAAGCAACATATTTTAGGTTCGATAGAAAAAAACTCACTTTTCATAATTAAGGACTAAACTCGGGCCGACTGTGGAGTAGATCACATATTGTTCGACTTTTAACTGATACACACTACAAAAAAATAGAGTTTTAGTGAAGAATTTTTTTGTCACTATATCTACAATTGTTTTCACTATATCTATTGTAAGTATATCTACAATTGTTGTCACTATATCTGCAATTATTGTCACTATATCTATAATTGTTGTAGAAATAGTGATAACAATTGTAGATATAGTGACAGTATATATAGTGACAACAATTGTAGATATAGTGACAAAAATATTTTTCACTAGAACTTTATTTTTTTGTAGTGACATTGGAGGTAAAATGAAATCATCTTGATGCTTTAGTAGTATTGATTCTAATGTACTAATGTTGTAAACGCTTAGTAGTATTGATTCTAATGTACTAATGTTGTAAACGCGTTGTAACTGTCATTCCTTTTTTTTTTTTTTTTTTTTTTTTTTTTTTTTTTTACACATTGCAAATACAAATGTTAGCATGATAACTATATATTGAAAGTAAGAGCATCTCCAATAGTCTTTCTATTACTCATTTTTATTGACACATGGCAAAAATAATCACATGTGGCACGGTAAATGTCTAAAAAGACTTCTAGATGTAGAAGTCATTCCAAACAACTTCCACAATATATTATATTATTTATTTAATTTATCTTTCTTTTTCAACTAATTACAATTTTACACATCACACATTATACCACATTTAATGCTTACCAATGGTGACAATTTTTGAATTTCTTTTCTCCATGCCATAAATACAAAATGGACAATGTTCTATTGGAGATGCTCTAATATTCAATGAAAGAATACTTTTGCAGTGTAACACATAATTTGATTATAAATTACTTACATACCTAACTAATTAATAGACTAATGATCATGTATTCTATGTTCATTCAAAAATAGTGCAAACTTATTTATTACAAATGTGCAACTTTGTTAATTGAATTTTGGAATCTCCAAATTCATATAGGTGGAATATATATATACAACAATTGATATTGGAAAATTAGTATGACAATTTGCATACACATGACATACGAACATTCATAAAGAAAAAAAATTACCATCATTTGCTCTTTGTTTTGTCTAAACTCGGCTCGTTCCTTACAACAGTAATTAGCCTCAACTATAAATTGCCAATCAAATGCACAAAACAAATAAAAAATATTCACGCTTTTGTTAATTAATAGAACACGTAATAAATTGATTCCAACTTGATTTCTTTTGGATTGATGACAAATTATTTGAATGTAAAATTATAAATGACATAAAATGTGGGTAACTATAATTTAAAATTTTCACAATTATAAAATATAATTATTGATTGTACTAGGGCCGGCTGTGTGTGCACAGCCGAGTCCACACTAGTATTACTATAGATTTCCTTCGTAGTTTGGCAAGTACCTAGCAATTTTACCATCTTATAATTTTCTCCCATATTTCTTTCCTAAATTATGATTTACACATCACTTTCTCCACTGTCTATTCCTCTTTTTTTTTTTATTATCAATTAGTCCATCATGATTTTTAAATAAAATTTTATTTTAGCAATAACTTTTATCATATATATATTAACTCAATACTCGTGCAGTGCACAGGTATTGTACTAGCACTACAAGAAAATACTTCAATTCCAATGAAAAATTCCAACGGCAAAAATTTCCGTTGGAAATTCTACTGAATATTCCAACAAACTTAATTTTATGTTGGAATAAGTGTTGAATAGTTGAGGAATTCCAACGGATTTTTTCTGTTGGAACAGCGATAGGAATTTATTTTCATAAGAATTTTCGTTGGATTTTAGCTATTCCAACGGCTGTTTTTCCCACGGATTGTTATACGTAGGAATATCCGTTGGAATAGTTATTCCAACGAAAATATAAAAAATTTCAACAGAAAATTTATGTTGGAATGTAAGAATTTTATTTGTAGTGTAGTATATTATTATTTTTTTAAGTTGGACCAACTTTTACCTCAGTTAAACTATTGTTACAAAAAGGCATGGTACGGTAAGTTAGAATCCATGAAAAGTGTGAGTTAAGAGTAGTTGAATCCATGAAAAGTGTGAGTTATGAGTAGATAGTGTGCTAAGAATGTGTGATTTATCCTCTATATAACCATATAACCAGAATTAATAAACGCAATTCGATTGTCTATTGCATAAACAATAGCACTTACTCCACACATACAGTTATATCACCCTTTTTTATAATCCTAATGATCATCATCGGCCTCTCTTCTTCTTCTTCTTCTTCTTCTTCTTCTGGTGATCCTCCAGCAGCCCGTCGTTGTGTCCTTAAACTCGTGAATTATCTATCACATGAGTCCCTGTAAGAATTAATTAGCCTGAAGAATTGATTATTGGCATTCAATTAACTAAAAAAAATATTAAGAATTACCTATTGCATAAATATTTGTGAAAAGAAAAGGAAATAAATCATCCAAACTCCATTTTGCGAAAAATGGGGAAATGTAATTTGTGTTTCTTGTTGGAGTATCGGATGGAACTCCAACAAACATATGCTTTTTTTTTGAGTTTTGGGGCTTATCTACATCGGAGATGGCTGTGAGCAACGTGTTGGAAATTTGGTATCAAATTACACGGGAAACCTATGAACTGATATGTATTTTCAGTTCTTACAAATAATCTAAAAATAGAAAATTACAATAGAACTGAAAATAAATTACAACTGAAAAACGGAAAGATTTTAGCCGAGGCGAGTAAAAACTCTTTCCGCAAGAAGAATACGCCCCGTGTGTCAGCTAACGGTTCAGGCGTAACTTCCCCAAAGATACAACGGCAAACGTCTCTAAATCTGTAGCACACCAGATTTACGAGCACCGGCGAACGGGTACGGAATCGAGAATTGAGCACTTAGAAATAAAAGAAATATTCTAAAACAAATAAAAATATCACTTGTTTTTTCTCTTTTGATATTTTTATATCTGATATTTGGACATATAAATTTATTTTTTTTCCTTTCTCTTTCTTTATCTCTATTTCTTTCTTCTTTTCTGTGTCCTTTTTTCATATGGCCGAATGGCCTATTTACAAGGGGAGATGATACAAAACAAATGGCCAATTTGGCCAAATTGCTTAAAAAAATATTTTTTTTTTTATTTTTTTTTTCAAGTGGGGGCGGCTATCCGCCCCAACTTTCCAACCTTTTTCTTTATTTTTTTATTTTTTTTTTAATTAATAAGTGGGGCGGCTCAGCCGCCCTTTTTTACTCCTTTTTCTAACAATCCCTCACAAAAGAGAAAGTAAAGAAATGCACGTATATACAGACTCTTGTGCTCAACCCTCACAAAATTCTATTGCATCAGAAAAGGTAGTTTTTGGCTTTGAACCTTTCTTAGTAAACATCATCGGATGCACTGGCGGCCTAGTGGATATAATGCCTTGAACTATTCCTCCATAGTGTACACCGAGACAATGACATTCACACAATAGAGTCTTTAACTCCATTCCGTTCTATCATTGTGTCCGTTTTGGCCATGGACAACACAATGGATTCATAGTTTACATTTGAAGCGGCCCACACTTCACACTTACATAGGTGACCTCCCTATCAAGAGTATCCTGCCATACTCCACCTTTACAAGGTTAGGGATTCATTAAAAGTCTATATGACATACCCTCACCACAATCAACAGGTAATCTTGCACTTGGAGTGCTCTAGGGAATAGCTTTGGACATTCATATGTTCCAAGTGCTCAACTGAATTTTCATAGCTTAGTTTTCCCTTTGAACCAAGTTTGTGGGATCTCCACTCAGCATGGTAGGGTTACCACTATGATCATTCTTTTCATTGTGGATTTTTAAGCCCATTCCCTCTAGCAAAACTACCAATTGATATCTATTCAATCCTTTCGTCAAAGGATCAGCCAAATTTTCCTTAGACTTCACATAGTCAATGGAAATAATACCATTTGTGATCAATTGGCGTATGGTATTATGTCTCCGACGAATATGTCTAGACTTACCATTATACAAATTACTTTGCGCCCTACCTATAGCAGCTTGGCTATCACAGTGAATCATCAGAGACGACAAAGTCTTATCCCAACATGGAATATCAGATAAAAAATTTCTAAGCCACTCGGCTTCTTCACCAGCTTTATCTAAAGCGATGAACTCCGATTCCATCGTTGACCGAGCTATACACGTTTGTTTTGTGGATTTCCACGAAACTGCACCTCCTCCAATACAAAAAACATATCCGCTAGTGGAGCGAGAATCTCTCCAATCTGATATCCAGCTTGCATCACAGTACCCTTCAAGTACAGCTGGATATCTCGAGTATTTTAGCCCGTATTCAAGGGTGTACCTCAAGTACTTAAGTACCCTTCTCAAAGCATTCCAGTGCTCATGACTGGGATTGCTCGCAAATCTGCTCAACTTATTCACCGGATAGGCCAAGTCTGGTCGTGTACAATTCGTCAAGTACATCAGACTTCCTACTATCCGTGAATATTCCAACTGAGCCACTGGTTGACCTTTATTGACCACCAGATTTATACTGAGATCAAGGGGTGTCTTACACATATGCCTAGACTGTGCACCGTCATAGGCATCAAATTTCTTGAGCACTTTCTATACATAATGAGCTTGTGACAAGACAATTCCTTCTTGGGTTCTGATAATCCTTATTCCAAGAATAACATTAGC